CGGGTGGCTGGTGCAGAAGGGCTGCCTTGCTCCAGCCTTCGCCCCCCGCGGCACAGCCACCTTCCCGGACACCCGGTCAGGGAGGAGACCCTCCTGCTTCTTCCCCCTCTCCCCCTCCCTCCCTCCCTTCCTCCCCCTTTCCTCCCTTCCTTTCAGCATCTTTGTGGAGACGTCATTTACCTGTCCTCTATTTCACTCAAAGTGTACAGTTCAGTGTTTTTAGTCTGTGGAGTTGGACGATCATCACCATAGTCAATTTTAGAGCATTTGCCTCACCAGCCGTGACTCCCCAATCCCTCCTCCCCAGCCCCTGGCTGCCACTCATCTGCTTTCTGTTTCTGTAGACTTGCTTATTCTGGACATGTGCTTATTCATGCGTGTGGGATCATATGAATGTGGTCTTCGTGACTGGTTCCTTTCGCTGCGCGTGATGTTTCCAGGCTTCATCCACGTGGGAGCGGCTGTCAGCCCTTCATTCCTTGTTGGAAGCTGACGGTATATTCCGGCGTGTGCCTGGTCACCCACCGATGGGCCTCGGGACTGTTTGCGCACTTTGGCTCTTCGGAGTTGAAGCCGTTGCATCCTCTTCCCGGCCCCAGAGTCCCCTCCACCCCCAGCCCTCCGCTCCCATCCTATTCTCCGTTTGTTTTCATCACCATCATGAGCTGGGAGTTTTGACCACCATGTATGTATCCGACACGGTAGATAGTTTCATTTTCTCGTTTTAAAAACTTTTTATAGATGACATCATACTGTGCATATTCAAATTACTCTTCAGTGGTAGGCTTGTAAGTTCACCGATCTTGGTTCTTGTAGTTCCTTCGTTTTTATTGTGGTTAGTATTCCATTATAGGTGTATGTTCCTCATTTGTTCCTTTATTTGTTACTCAGTTGATAATGGACAAAGGGATAATGTGAATTCATTCTTCAGTTGATGATGGATAAAAGTTTTTCTTAAAATTTTTTTTTTCTTTTTAGCGTTAGCGACATCGCTGAACCTGCCTCCTGCGTCCTTACACAAGGGGTTTTCATGGCCTGTGCCTAGAAGTGGCATTATGTCGTGTGTATCTGCTTTTTGTGAGGAATCACTGGGGTCCTCTTTAAAGCAATGAGTTACTGTGGTGTTTTTAAGCAGTACAATTCATTAAAAAGTTTATTGGTGAACATATTTTTTAAAGAATGATTTCATGATGTGCTATTTATTCTTTTAAAATGGCTTTAGCTGAAGCCTGTTTTTCTTTTTGGCTATGCAAGACCAGATAAAAATGCAATTTTAATAAGATAAAATGAGATGCCTTTTAGTCTGAGCTTGAACTTTGCTGGAACATTTTCTGCTCAATAAACACAAGTGGTGTGCCCATGAAGAATTAATGCATTGGCGCTTTCCTGGGAGGCAAGGGGCCTGCAGCGTGTGGTAACACTGCAAGACCCATGGAAATGCCTTGCACATAGAGGGCAGAGGCCCACTGCCTGCTGGTTTTGAGCCATATTCGTGTACTGAGACATAAGGGAAGGGTGCAAGCCAGCAAGGTAGGTGCATAGTGCCGGTGAATGCTGTCTGTAGGTCACTTGGCGGTAGTCAAGCTGCTGCCATTTATGGCTGTCTCATTTCTTACACGTTCTTATTCCCATTTCCGAGACGAGGAAGCTAAAGCCTAGAGCAATTACCCAGGCCCTTTGGTTCTTAAAACAGGAAACCTTCTACCAAGGTCGGGGAAGCCTCCAAGAGATTTCTGGAAAGGGGCCACGACAGAGGGGTTGTGCATGACCTCCGTGGGCTGATACTCTTTCTTTCCAACAACAACAACAAACCCCCAAACCCTCCTGGATTCTGTGGGTCAGACTGGTCTCTTTTCCATGGTGTCACTGGGAAGGTTCAGAGGCTGGGAGGGAAATCAGAAGAAGGCTGGTGACTCACGCCTGTCGAGGTTGATGCCGGCCATCATCAGCTGGGACACCCCCTTGAAGCTGTTGGTTCTAGTGCTTACATGTGGGCTTCTTCAAAGCCTGGTGGCTGGGTTCCAAGAGAGAACCCAAGAGAACCAGGTGGAAACTGTGCTGCCTTTAAAAACTTACATCTTCATTGAGACTCACATATAATAATAGTTCACCCATTAAAATTCACGTACAACACCATTCCCTCATTTAAGGGGTGAAAGTCAGTGGTACTGCGGTGTATCCGTCGCCACAGTCAACGTTAGAATATGTTTGTCCCCTCAGGAAGAAGCCCTGTAGTCTTCTGCTGTCACCCCAGTCTCCCATCCTCCACCCCAGGCAACCACTAGTCTCCCTTCTGTCTCCCTTCTAGACATTTCATGTCAGTGAGATCATAGAATAGGTGTTTTTTTTTTAAAGATTTTTATTTATTTGACAGAGAGGGAGTGTTAGTGAGAGCAGGAACAAGCAGGGGGAGTGGGAGAGGGAGAAGCAGGCCTCCCGCCGAGCAGGGAGCCCGACGCGGGGCTCGATCCCAGGACCCTGGGACCATGACCTGAGCCGAAGGCAGACGCCCAACGGCTGAGCCACCCGGCGCCCCAGAATAGGTGTTTTTTCATGACTGGCTTCCCACGCGTAGCGTGATGGTTTCAAGGTTCTTCCGTGTTACAGCGTGAGCTAGCACTTTATTTTTTAGCTGATGACTATTTCACTGAGTAATATTCCAGTTTACCATGTTTTTGTTGTCCAAGAACATTATAAACGCCAATTCATTTTTTTTATTTTTGTAGGTAAACTTAAAGGTTCGTGCGAGTTTGGAGTCCAGTGTGCTTGTCTTTGCCTGCCTCGTACTCCTCACAACCCCCGTCGCAACGTGGGGGCTATCGAATGTCCGTTAAATTTTGCTGAAACATTTTAGGATATAAAAGGGAACATTTTCTGTAATTAAAATGTTGTGTCACAGGCACAGACATGGAGGAATGAATGGAAAACTGAAAAAATGCCCCAGCATAGAGTAATCTCCTGCGTATTGAAGACAGTGTCCGCAAACCAGTAGGGAATAGGATAGGTTTTTAACCAATGTCATTGGAGCAGTGGATTATTTTTTAAAAAAGTTTTCTACAGGCGCCTGGGTGGCTCAATCCTTAAGCGTCTGCCTTCGGCTCAGGTCATGATATCAGGGTCCTGGGATCGAGCCCCACATCGGGCTCCCTGCTCGGCGGGGAGCCTCCTTCTCCCACTCCCACTCCCACTGCTTGTGTTCCTGCTATCGCTATCTCTCTCTCTGTCAAAAGAAAAAAAAAAGTTTTCTACAGTCTGTAGCAAAATAAAATAAATTCTAGGTGACTCAATACTCAAGGGTAAAAAATAAAACCACACAAGTGTGGAACTAGGACACAGTTGGAGATTTATGCCATCTCAGTAAGTCGGCTGGGCTGAATGTTCGTGCGCTCCCAAAACTCACAGGAAGCCCTAACCACCAGACTGAGGGTGTTAGGAGGTGGGGGTTTTGAGGGGGTGAGGAGGTCCTGAGGCCGGAGTCCCCCAGGGTGGGATTAGAGCCTTTATAAAAGAGACCCCAGAGAGCTTCCCTGCCTCTTCCGCCGGGTGGGGACGCAGCAGAAGGCACCAGCTGAGGCCCTCACCAGATACCAAATCTGCCAGCACCTTGATCTTGGACGTCCAGCCTCCAGAACTGTGGGGAATAAATGTCTTTGTTTATAAGCTGCCACATGCGTGGTATTTTTGTTATAGCAGCCGGGATGGACTAAGACAGTTGGGGGTGGGCCTTTTTAAGTAGAGTCCTCAAAGGAGAGCCCCGTGTAACGCATAAAAGTGAGGTTGACTTAACCACAGAGACCTTTAAGCTTCCATAAGCCAAGAGGATGGCTTTGTCACCTGTCACCATTCTGTTCTCTTTTGGTTTTCTGCTGCTGCTGTAACAAATCAGCATAACCCTATTGGCTTATAATACACACTTGCTGTCTTATAGTTCTGGTGCTGGGCTAAGATGAAGGTGTTGGCCGGGCTGCAGTGCCCCCGAGACCCGTGCTCTTTCTCATCTTCCTGCCGTGCCCGCGTTCTCGGGTGGTTGATATCTCCTGCTCATTTCTCATGGTGGCATGAGGCTGGGGAACCTCTAGGCCTCACATGTGTGTTCCAGGCAGATGAGGAAGGGCCCACACTGCTGGTGACTGAGCTGCGCTGGGTCACAGGGCCTCCCCTGGCTGGACGCCCCCGCCGAGGAAGGGGTGCGGGTGCGGCCACTCAGTGGACCGCCCTGGTGTCTGCCACGGGGGCTGTTTTGTTTCCATCTGTTTTCCAAGTTTACTCTGATGAACAGAAGACTTTATTTTTAAATTTAATTTTTATCTTTTTTAAAAAGATTTTACTTATTAGAGAGGGAGAGAGAGAGAGAGAGGGCACGAGTGGGGGAGCAGCAGTGGGAGAGGGAGAAGCAGGCTTCCCGCGGAGCAGGGAGCTCAATGTGGGGCTCGATCCCAGGACCCTGGGATCATGACCTGACCTGAAGGCAGACGCTTAACCGACTGAGCCCCCCGGGCGCCCCCAGAAAACTTTTATAATAAAATCATTAAGTCTTTAAAAAACACATTTATCTTCTTTTTGTGATTCTGCATTCTGTCTTTGACGAAATGGCAGCAGATGGGAATTTCCAGACGGGCATTTCAGCATTAGTTCGTAGTCCTGCCGCTGGCACACGGTCCGGGAGCAGAGGCTGCTGGAACTTGGCGATGCTGAGTGGCTCCCAGCTCCCAGCAGCCTCCTCGGCAGCGGCGCCTGAGGCCCTGCCGATGCGGTCAGGGCTGCGGCTCCCTGGGCTGAGGCCCATTTGCCCGGCAGGCTGAATGCCCCGTTGTGTGTGTGGCGTGGACCTGTGTGGCGCCATTCATCCCTTCCAGACGGGCCCTCGGGACCCGTGGCAGCTGAGGGAGAGTTGCTGCTCAGGCGTGTAGGTTACTGGGAACTGGTCCTTTTCCCGAGTTAGTGTGGGCTCTTGAGGAAGCTGGAGAGAAGCTAATCGGTTTTCCTTTCTTTTTAAACAGCATCCAGCATGTGTACGGCGCCCAGCACCCCCCCTTCGACCCACTGTTACACGGCACGTAAGTGAGGCCTGTGGTCATGCTGCATCACGCACGCGCCTGGGCGTCCTGGTGACCCGCCGGCCTCCTCGGGGTCCTGAGGGGAGCAGCGTGGTCTTCCCTCGAGCAGACACGCGTCAGGGCCTCGCACGACTGGTCCTCCGGACAAGGGCAGAGGAGGAAGCCCAGCCCAAAGTGGAGGAGAGCACGAAGCTGGCACCCCCTTAGCTGACGGGAGGGCCTGGCCCCGGGCCTGTTCTCGGTGGTCAGCTCACTTCCCTTGCCCTCCACTGCACGCTCTGCCCCTGCGTCTGGCTCCTCCACCAGAGCCACGCAGGGGGCTGGTGTGACCCCCCGCCCGTGCTGGCGGGTGTCACTGGGCCCCCCGCGGGGGCTCTTGCTCTAGTGGTGCTGTGTCGCGTCTGCACGCCGAAGGACAGCCGCTCCTGCCCCCGCCGCCCCCACTGCTGCCTTAGGAGGTTTGCGGGCACTGGCCCGTGTGAGGCTTGGGGACTCCCTGTGAATGCCGTGACTGCGGTGCTGGGGTTCCTCCTGAGTGGCTTCTGTCACTGAGCAGAGACTGCTCAGCGGTACTGCCCCTCGAGAGCCTCTCCTTCCTGCCCCCGAATCCTAGGAGTCCTCTTCTGTTTTTTTTTTAGGATTATTTATTTGAGAAAGAGAGCGAGGGCACAAGAGTGGGGGGGGTAGGGAGGGGGGCGAGGGAGAAGCAGACTCCCCACCGAGCAGGGAGTCCGATGTGGGGCTTGATCCCAGGACCCCGGGATCACAACCTGAGCCGAAGGCAGACATTTAACCGACTGAGCCCCCTGGGTGCCCCAGGAGTCCTCTCTCGGATGCCTCTTTGGGTTGTGCTTGCTCTTCACCCTCAGCTCAGTTGACACTGGAAGCTTGAATGTGCACCTTTCATCCATGGGCTCCTTTCTGACCGGTCGTGGGGTGAGTCCGCTCCAGCCTCCGAGGGGACAGCTGAAGTCTGCCTTTGCTTTGCAGCTTGCTCAAGGGCGCGCCCAAGGCGCCCGCCACACCCGTGAAGGCCAAGAGCATCAGCACCTTCCCGGAGTTTGAGAGCAACACCAGCGACGCCTGGGATGCCGGCGAGGACGATGACGGGCTCCTGGCCGTGGCAGCCGAGAGCCTGAACACCGACGTGGTCATGGAGACGGCCCACCGCGTCCTGCGCAACCACAGCCAGCGGCAGGAGCGCCGCAAGCCGCAGGAGGCGCCGGGCCCCGAGCAGGAGCCACAGCCTTCGGCAGAGCCTCCTTCGGTCCCGAGCGGTGACCTCCGGCTGGTGAAGTCCGTCAGCGAGAGCCACACATCCTGTCCTGCAGGTGGGCGGGGGCGCGAGGAGATGACGTGCAGTGCTGCGAGGGAGAGGGGCTGGAGGCCTCTCGGTGCGGGAGGTTAGCGGGCGTTCCGTCCTCTTTGCCACAGGAGCTCGTGCCCTTGGAAGACCTTGAGGTTGTGATCCACGTGCCCACAGGCCTTCCCAGGCAGGAGAAGCCGTAGACTTTTCTTTGTGTCCCCAGCTGAGTGCTTCTCTCCTCCGGGTGGAGGGTGTGGTGTGTGGCTTTCGTGGCCTGGCTGTGAGAGGCCCACAGTGAGCACCAGGCCCCAGGGGACTGTGTCTCCCTTCTAAGTGTGCCCCGGTTGTCCCAGGGGGACATTTCCAGCTCAGGGGCCAGGCCAACTGCACGTTCAGAGGCTGCACCTCCTCCGGCAGCTTCCAATGACACCCCCTCCCCCGCCGGGACACCTGCACGTGGCTCAGAGTCTGTAGGGGGCAGAGTCTGGGGTGTGGAATGACTGCCTCCAGGTCATAAACTCAAGGATGCGATCAGTGCATGTCTTGTACCCCGTGCCTGGTGCTCAGTAGCCTTTCTGGAGACGGCTCTCAGTAGCTTTGCTTTTTGTTTTTGGGGGTGTCTGTGATGTAAAACAACACAGTATTTGATGAGCCTCTGTGATGGGTCAGGCTCTTAGGGCTTGGGGTGCCCCCAGGAAGTCCCTGGCCTGGAGTGTGTGTTCTGGTGAGGGGGACAAGCACTGACCTACACGTTGGGTCAGTAAGGAGGCCTGGAGCGTGCGGGGAGGGGACAAGCGCCCTGGGTCGAGACAGAGGTGGGAGGTGGCGACAGCAGTCTGGACCTGGGGCGTAATCTTCAGTCAGAGCGTCCAGATGCCCTACTGAGAAGGTGACACGTGAGCATCAGTGAGGTGAGGCAGTGAGGCGTGGGGAACTGGTGGCAGAGGGGCCGGCCTGCACCGCGGCGGACTCACGGCCTCCCTCTCCCAGGGTCTCTGGGGGTCAGGGGGACTGCCCCTTGTTTACAGAGGAGAGAAGAGGGCATCGGGCAGCCTCAGCTTGCCCTGCTGGGACCACGGAGCTGGCGTTCATCCCCCTGTCTAGTTTTCAGAAACCCGTCCCGGGAGCTGACTAATGTTTGGAACATCACACGTCTTCGTGGGTGAGAATGCTGTGAATTAGTTCCTTTGACCAGTTTTCATATTGGAATCTGAACTATTTTTCTCCAAAATAGGCTGAACTTCAAAGTATTTGAGTTTAAAAATAAAAATCTGGTTAGGGCTTCTGCGAGTGGGTCGGGGTTCCCCGAGACTGACGCATCCTATGCCGATTACCGCCTGCGCGCCCCGGCCGGGCAGTGCCCTCAGCCTGGGTGCCTGTTCAAGTTGGCAGGTGCCCCGGATTCCTCTGTCCTCTGCTGTGCCCCACGCCTCTGGGGCCTGGGTAGAGCCTCTGTGACACGTGCCATCTGAGCAGTTGCTGGGGGGTGGGCCTCAGCACCCGTAGAGGTGGGGGCCCATCTCGGCTGAGTGGGCAGGCTCCTGTTCTCTCAGGCCGTGGGGCTGCTGCGAAGAGCACCACAGGCCGATGGTGCATGAGCAGCAGAAAGTTAGGTCTCCCAGTTCTGGAGGCCGGAAGTCAGGTCAGGCGGCCAACACGGTTGGGTCCTGGCTCTCTTCGGGGCGCAGACAGCTGCCTTCTCACAGTATCCCAACATGGGGGAGACTAGAGAGGGGAAACAGGCTGTCTCGTGACTCCTCAGGAGCACCGATCCCATCAGGGGACCCCACCCTCCTGACTTCCTCTAAACCTGAGGCCCTTCTTCCTAACACCGTCCCGTCTGGGGAAGGACTTGCGCATACGGACTTTGGGGCCTCACAGCATTCAGCCCATGGCCAGGTATGCAGTTGGGCTGCATCCTGCCAGGGTGGGGAGCCTTGGGGTGGCCTCCTCCTGTAAAAGTCAGGTGAGGGATGCCCCAAGCGGCTCATGCTGGGGAAGGGGCCGATTACTGTGTTTGCCTCTGCCTCCACCCGCTTGCGCATCAACCATCTTTCCTTTGCTTTCTGAGCAGGCTTTTTGTGAGCAGTTCATTTCATGATAGCAGCTAGTGTTTATCCATCGCTTACTGTGGGGCAGGGACTGTCTCGGGCCCGCGTCATGAACAGATCCCTCTGACTTTGCAGCCAGTCTAGGAGAGAGCTTACGGGGGAGGTATAGGGAGGTCACGTGGCTCGCCCAGCATGCTGAGCGGTGGGGTAGGGTTCAAGTCCAGGGCGTCTGAGGCCAGGGCCTGCTGCTAGCTGCTGACCTCCCCACAGAGAGCAGGGCCTCTTCGCTGGTGATGCCGCCCCCAGGGGACATGAGGTCCTGTTTTAGGACCTTTCCTGTTAACATCTGGGGCAGGGAGTGTGTGCTCCTGGCATGAAGTGGGCAGAGACCAGGGTGCCTGGCCCCCAGGGGACTCTCTGGCCCGACCGTGCACAGTGCCAAGGGGGAGAGGGCCGCTCTGGAGCCCGAGGTGGCCTCTCAGGGAGCCGACCCCACGGGTGGCTGGCAGTGGTGCGCAGAACTCGTGGGCCTGTGTTCAGTTCCCTTGGTGGGCTGTTAGTCGTGGGGATGGCTTACTCGGTGTTGGCGCTAAGACGACCACGTCAGCCCTCATTCTTACTGGGCTGGGCCCGGCGCAGATGTGTTGACTGGCAGGCAGTCTAGTGGGGAAACACAAGGATCTGAGTCTTTCACCTCCCTGGGTGGAATGGAGCCTTGGAGTGATGGACAGGACCCAGAAGCACCCACGGGTAGAAGTCCCAGTTCAGTCTTGTTGAGGAGGGCCAGGACGTGTCAGGGAAGGCTTCAGGGAGGAGGTGATGTCTCTAAGGTTACCGGTAGGGTGAGGCTCCAGGCTTAGGAGGTGGGGCCATCCCAGCCGAGGGGAGGTGCCGGGTGGGCTGGGCTGGCTGACTGCACACCTCATCTACGTGGTTTGCAAGTTCCCCCAAGGCAGGGACCATGTCCCATTGCCTTTGTTTCCCTTTGGGGTCCTGTGTCATTACGTGAATGTTGCTGAGCTAAACTGAGGTGTCTTCAGGGCCTGGTGACCGCGGGCTCTCCCCTCCTCCATGTTCTGCCCCACTCTTGTCCCTGCACCGGCCCCACGGCCCAGGGCCAGGCCAGGCCTCTGTTGAGGTGAGGGACCTGTGAGTGCCATTTCATGTGACTGTGCTCCTCGGAGCGGAGTTGTGTTTCTGGGGCCTGGACGCTGTGTTTCATGGGGCCCAGTCTGATCAGAGTGCTGCCTGCCCTTCCCACTGCCGGCATTGTGTCGGGTGCCTGTCCCTTTATGGTGCGCCACCGTGGGAGCTCACGTCACCCCATGCAGTGTCCACAGGGCCTGCTGGCTGCCCTCGCCTTTGGCCTTCAGCCCTGGGTAGATGGCAGCCTGAAAGTTCCGGGATGCTGCAGCAGGGGTCTCAGGCTGGCCTTCCCCGCGCCTCCTGCTTACCTTTCTGTCAACGTCTAGTGCGTTGGGGTCCCTGGGTAAGGGTCTACGAAATCACCAGGACACAGGGGATGCAGAGCAAAGGCAGCACTTGCAACTGCATACTGCCCTTTATTTCTCACATAGCTATATACTCGCAGAGATCAGATAAACATAACAATGTATCAAGCCAACATCTGTGAAGTGAAATATACACGAAATGCAATAAGAACAAAATATATCCTGCTTATGCTTGCAGAATAAAGAATTCTCTTAGCCATCCTTCCTTTGGAGACAACATGTTCTTTGTCTTTAGAAAGAACACTTCTGATTAGAAAGATACACTTTAAGCTAGGCAAGAGCCACTTCCTGCTGATCCAGGCATTTAGAACTTGCAACATGAGGTAAGGGGAAGAGAACATTTTCTCCTCCTGGCCTAGCCCTGCCTGGCCGACCTTAACCTCAGTGCAGTCCTCAAATGATCCTGGCCTGCAAGGGGTCTACAAGCCTACACCATCTCACCTTTCGACTGTCCTGACTTTCTTAATCAGCGTCTGAGGTATCTGTACCTTTGTATCTGAAGTCAGATGCCCTTTGCTTGGTCTAGGGTGCCGCTGGCGTAATGGGGAGCCTGCGCCTTTGGCTGCGAAGGGCTCAGTGGGCGTGGCTGGGGAGGACTGTCCATCGCTGATGGGGACTGAGCTGCAAGTGGGTCCTGGGTGGACACTGGCTGCCCTGGAGGGGGACACTGATGTGTTTTCCACTTACAGTAGCAGGGAGACCTGCTGTTGACCTTCCTGCTTCCTCAGGGGGCAGGGGGCATCACTGTGCCTTGCAAACCCTGCCCGTCCCATCTTAGAGGGGGACCGGATGTGTGCTCTGCTCAGGACGACGTGGTCCTTACATGTCGGAGTAAATCACAGGGATGCTCTCTAAGATGGCGGAGAAGTAAAACTCAGCACGTTTGGTTCCGCGTTAGAACGAGGAATCCCTCCTCCCGCCCATCGTCTTTCCTGAGGAATCATGACGCACAGCGGAGTGGCAGATTCTGAGGGCGGGGAGGAGGGGGTCTGAGCATCGCTGCCCCGGGCCTCCCGGAGGGCAGGCCGGTGGGGACACCTCCTGCAAGCGAGGGGTCAGCCCTGCGGAGGGGCTGGGACTTGCTCTCACCTCAACGCCCACCTCTCCAGGCTTTTCTGGAAGCTTAACTGGGCCAGACACTGCTCCTCTGTAGCCTGAGGGTTTCTGTGTGAAGCCTTTCCGGGCCTCGATTTTAGGGTAATGAGTCAGCTCTGCGGGAAGGAGGGGGTCGGTGGGAGTCTGACAGCGGCAGCCAGGAGCCGGCATGTTTTCTTCACTTTGTTTGGTTCCCGCCCCATCTCCTGGAGTTGGTTTTTTCCTCTACTTTAAATTTCAGTTCTGGGAGATGTGACCATTCAAGGGTATTTAGACCTGGGGGTGTACAGCCTGGTGCTGCCTGTTCCTGTGGGCCCCTCGTTGGTCCCTGGTGGCTCTTTCTGAGTGGGTGTTGGGCCTTGGGCTCTTTTCTGTGGCTCTTCCTGGTCCGGGTTCCTGGATTTAACGCACGGTTTCACTTCGGCCCTGTGTGTCCCTGTCGGTGGGCCTTTGTGCGTGGTGGTAGGTGGTGCCCTGGGGCGGGGGCTGCTGGGCAGGCCTGCAGCCTGCTGCCCCTCCCCTGCTTGCATGCGCTCTAGCTTCCTGTGCTTTCTCTTCGTGATGGTCCCTGCCCGCCTCCCTCATGGGGCTTGGGGAGATTCAAGGGGTGCAGTGCCTTTGTGGGCTTCATGCTCCTCCACGTGTGGCTCGGTGGCTTCCTTCTGTGCTCAGGCCCAGGTGAGCCCCACAGGCACCAGCAGATCCTTGGGTTGTGTCACCTGGGCAGGCCTGCTAGCAGTGGGGGAGCCGGGGGGGTCTGGAGTTTTCTGGTTGTCGTTTTGCTTTTGTGTGAGGCACGTCTGTTTTCCCAGGGAGTAACGCTCTACCAATAAGGCCAGTGGGCTTCTTGGGTGTTCACTAGTTTCACTTTATTGCCCCGGTCACGCGGGTCTGCACTGGCCGGTTACGGGAGGAGGGGATGGCTGTGGCACGGTGGCGTTCCCGAAGGGCAGGTGGCGCGGGTGGGAGCCTGCTTACTGGGGAACAGGGCCGTGGGGGGGGGGTCCAGGAGGCCATCCTCACCCCCTGCGTGCTCTCTCCCCAGACAGCGCCGGCGACACTGCTCCTCTGCAGCGGTCCCAGTCTCTCCCGCACTCGGTGGCGGCCGCCGTGGGTGGCACGTCTGACCCCAGCGCCCTCAGCAGCTCAGCGTTAAGTGAACGAGAGGCCTCCCGGCTCGACAAGTTCAAGCAGCTCCTTGCTGGCCCGAACACAGACCTCGGTGAGTCCCCCGCTGGCGAAGGGCACGTGCACCTGCGCCCCCACGTGTGGTTTACTTTGTCAGAGGGCGATGTGTTTGTGCCGTCCTGCGCGAGTCACAGAGATGAGCCATTTGTCCTTGAGGTTTACTTCAGCTGTGTGTTGGTCATGGGCTTCCGGGGCCATTGATCCGGTATTTTCTGTTCTGTTCTATTTTTTAATGCTCCGATTGAACTCCTTTGGCTTCTTGGGGCTGAACTGGTTTGCTCCACAGGACTGGCCAGCTTGGTGTCCCTGCTTTTCAGAGTCTTCGTGGGGACACAGAGCTGGTGACCGGGGTCCTGAGTGCTGCTGACTTTACACCTTCCTTGGTGTAAAGTGTGGGATAGGCCGTGAACACCCCGGGAGCGCAGGCGGGGCTGGGGTGGGCGGGCCAGCAGGGGGCCGTACAGTCAGCAGTGTGGTTCTCGGGGGTCACTATGGCCGCGGGGCCGCTCTGCCACCAGGCTCTGAGACGGGTGCTCGCCTCCAAGTCCATTTGCTGGGCTTCCCCTCGAAGCCGCGTCCTTTCCTCGGTACGTCTCATCTTTGCGGAGTGCCACGCTGCATCGGGCATCTTGCTGGCTGCGGGGGCTCTCCGGAAGGTGGGATGTGGCCGCGGTCTCGAGATCACGCATGGTGGAGGGTGGGTGCCAGGGTGGCACGGAGGGCTGGCGCTCCTCGGCTGCAGTGCCCCGCTCCGCCAGCAGGTGGCGCGTGAGGCACGCGGCTGGGCTGCCCAGCAGGGAGGCGGGCGGAGGCGGAGCGAGCATGGAGCTGAAGGATAGGCCGCGTCCCTGAGGATGCTGCTCCCCTTGTGGGTGCAGAAGGGTTCCTTCCCGCGAGTTTCTGCGTTTTCATTTTCCTGATTGATTTGCTCACGCACACGTAAGACAGTCACGCGGCACCAGAGGATGTGCGGTAAAAACGTGTCGCTCTCCTCTTCCCCAGGCCTGCTTTCCCTCCTTCGCGTGATTCCAGGTGTCTTCTTCCAGGGACAGGAAGGGAGGCCTCTCGTTCTCTTAACGCTGAGCTGCTGAGGGCGCTGGGGTCAGATCATGCACATGACGATGCACGTGACGTCTTAAACTTTTTATTTTGATGTAATTTCAAATGTAGACGAAAGTTGCAAGAACGGTACAGGCGAGTCCTGTCTTCACCAGTCGTTTGTACTTTGCCCCGTCTTCATCCTGTGCGTGTGCCTGTGTGTCTGCGTGCTTTCCCCGAACCGTTTGAGTCCGTTGGAGACCCTGGACCCCTGGGCCCCTGAGAGCACCACTGTCTGTTTCCCAAGCACAGAGACACCGTCAGAACATTGCACAGCGAGATGGTGCGCTCAGCTCATCCGCGGTGCACATTCTCTTCCTGCCAGTCGCCCCAGTGATGTGCGCAGTGTGTGTCGCCCCGCCCGTCCTCCCCGTCAGCCAAGGGGGTCCCAGTGTGCACCGTGTTCCCGGGCGCCAGGGCGTTTGAGGAGGGCAGGCCAGGCGTTGTGCGGCTCCCCTCAGCGGGGGTGTCTCGTATCCTCCTGATGAGATTCAGGCCGGTCGTTTGGCAGGGATGTCGCCTATGAGGTTTGTGTTGTCTGTCACCGTGGCGGGAGGCCACGGGGCGGGTTGGCCCTCGGGTTCAGGAGGGAATGCGATGACTGGCGAGATGGCGGCTGTCAGGTCCTGCACGGGGACGGGGGGTGGACGCGACTCTTCTGTGGTAGCTCAGAAGTCGCGTGTGGAGAGGCGCTTCGGGGTCCGTGCATCTGTGCATGTTTCCCCACACGCGTGGTGGTGCTGCTCTGCCCCCCACGTTAAACCTCACAGCGTCTTTCCCGTGGTAGCGCTAGAGACGCGCGCGGCCCGCACGGGCTGTGCGCCCGGGACTCCTTTACCGCCCCTCCGACGGGCACTTCGGTTCTTCCCAACTTTGTGTCACGGCAGTGGGCTTGGACCTGTGATCCTCACCCCGCGCTGGTGACTAGCGATGGGCATCGAGCGTCCCGAAACGTGGGTCAGGGAGAGGAGGAGCTGGGGTGGAAATCTCACCACGACGCTGGGAAGTCAGGTGGATCGGGCGCCAAGGAGTCTAGTCGTGGGGTTTGAGCCCGTCCCTTGGCCACTTGCTTTTCCAGCCCGCCAACACACCTGTGCCCCGAGGCAGTGTGGGGAGGTGCCAGAGTGTGGGGAGGGCAGAGGTTCTGGGACAACTGCTGGCTGGGAGTGCGGGGCGGTGTTCTCCAGCCCCGTGACTGGAGCAAGCCTGGAGCGCTTCTGGGGTCCTCGGTCGCCTGCCCAGTGGTGCTGGCTGTGCTGAGGGGGCACACCCGGGGAGGGGATGCGTACGGAGTGTTTAGGAGCGGGCCCAGCACACAGTGAACGCTGAACAGTGCTACTCATCTGCCTGATTCATTTGCGTTGGCCTCTTTACCCCTTACCTTGATTTTCAGAGCACCGATGCACGTGGTCGCTGTGGTCACTGCCGAGTCAAGGCGGCTTGCACGTGTCCTCTTGGTTGAGTTAAGCGGTTTCTGACAGTAGGGGGCACGGAGGTAGTTGGTGAAGACAAGATACACTGATAGGAATTGCAGTTCTGGGTCAGGAGCTGAGCCCCCGTTAGTCTTCTGGTGGCCTTTGTCAGTGGACTAACTTGTGGACATTAAAATCCTACTTCAGAACAAAGCTTTCAGGACTCATGGGGAAAGCGGCTATGCACGGGCAGGAGGAAAGGTTAACATGTAAAAATAAGATTCTTTTGTTGGGTTGGTGCCGTTATGAGTGTTTTCTGTCTTTTGCATTCTGTTTAAGTATCAAATCTCACACCAAAAAGCTTTCAAAGTTAAACAATTACTGGATTTGTATTTAGTGGCAGGAGAAAACACAGCCAGTAAATTGCCTGTTTTTATAAGGCATTTAAGATAGCCTTGGAAGACAGTGGAATATATTATCTCCACGTTACATAAAAGACATAAGTGGCAAATATTTGCCAATGTTGGAGAAGCAAATCACTGATGTGAGAAGTGCCCACAGAAATGATTCTACCTGCTGAATGTCATCTCGTCGGCGGAGAGCTGTTTTTCTTTGTTTAGCTTGTGCTCTGTTATGAGCCTGGGGATGAAAGTAGCAAATAGAACTTAACAGCTCATTCTGCTCTTAGCATTGACTCAATATTTACTCGTGCAAAAGGCTGCTGCTTTGAAGCCCAAGAAAATGACACTTGGGGGCGTTCATTTTTATCGCGCGCTTCTGTGCGTGGGAGCGGGACTGGGCTGAGGGCAGAACATGCGGTCCGGAGGCCCACAGAGCCGCCCGGTCTCAGTGGTGGGGCTCGAGGACATGGGGTCTCTGGGCCTTCAGCCGTGACTACTGGGGGAGCGAGGCTGGCTGCACGGTCTTGTTCCAGCTTCCTCGCCTGAGCATCCAGTCTGGCCCGAGGGTGGAGAGTGTCCCTGTAGATGGAGGTGGGGAGAGGTGTTTTCTGGGGGAAAGGGGTCAGTGGAGCCGCTCACCCTGGAAGTGAGGTTTAGGTAGCTGCCCCCTCAGGGCCCGCGGCTGGAGGACAGCCCTGTGGGGCCGGGGTGGCAGGAGGAGGCAGTCCAGCCTTGGCGCCAGGCCCTGGCTCTGCAATCCACTCTCAGCAGGTGACTGGGGAAATGAGGCCCACCCTGCAGGATCCTGTGACCCAGAGGTGATTTATGGAAAGCGCCCACAGGGTTTGCTCATTCAACCCGGATTCGTTGGGCACTTGCTGTTGGTGTAGGCACTGGAGAGAAACAGGGAACCAGAACCCCGGGCTCTGCTCTTCAGGAGCTGACGTTCTGGTGTGAGGAGACAGGTGGGGACACATACACACACACTCAGTACTCCAGAAACTCACAGAAGGTGCTAAGGTGCACATGGGGAACAAAGCCGGTGGGCGGGTGCTGCTGTAGCTGAGCCATCAGCCAAGACCCTTGGAGTAGGCACCTTAATTCAAGATGAAGTTGAAGGTGGGCCGGAGCCTCCCAGGGGCTGGTCGGTGTTGGGACAGGGCTAGTGCTTGAGGACTGGAAGCAGCTGCTGAGGCCCAGGCCTGGCGGGGGAGGGGTCGGGAGGGGGCAGAGGCCAGCAAGCAGGAAAGGACAGGTCCTGAGGGCTCTGAAGGCCAGAAGAAGGAGCTCACCATGAAGCCTCTGGGAGGTTTGGAACCAGGGAAGCAAAGCTTGGCACAGGGCATCTGGAAGAAACAGGGTTTCTCCTCTGTGGAAGGAAGGGCCGTGGAAGATTTCTGGCCAGGGTGTCTCCAGCAGCTTTGGGCTGGGGCTGGGTCCGTGGGCAGCCCCTGGGAGTGCAGAGGGGGAGGGATGGAAGGGCAGGGAAGGAAGTAGGGGAGTAGACTGGGGAAGGGCCCGAGGGTATGGGCTGGGGGTGGGTGGGTGAGGCGGTTGCTTTCCCCGGGGGCTGCAGGGCAGGCCGGCGGGGGGGGGGGGGGTTGGCGGGCAGCTGGTTGGACACAAAGCTGGCTAGACTGGGGAGCAAGGGAGGCCAAGATGGCACAGTGGGAGCCTCGGGGCTGTGAGGAGGGGGCTTCTGGTGCACAGAGAGAGAGGGACTTGTTACACAAAGCTGGGGAAAGCAGTATGGACAAATAATTCCACGTTGTTGCCATTCTGGGTCCTCACTCCGTGGTGGCTACGATGTGTTTATATACACGGACAGCCTCCGACTTACGATGGTTCGACTTTATGACGGTGTGAAAGCAGTGCGCGTTCAGTAGACACTGTACTTGGAATTTAGAGTTTGGATCTTCCCCCGGGCTCGTGATTCTCGGGCTAGTGCTCCGCGGGCGCTCCTCTCCCGTGGTGCGGGGCAGCGGCCACAGCTCCTGGTCGGCCTCGCGATCACGAGGGTCAGCAGCGCTACGCGGGCACCCAGGCTGCTTCTTGCTTTCTGTACGGTGTTCAGTGGATTACATGAGCCATTCAACCCTTTAGTGTGGGCTCGGCTTGTGTTG